GTTTTAACTGAATGTATAGTGAAAATTGCATCTAAGTTCGTATGTTAGTTCGGTAGTTTCCTTCATAGTTATACGAATGGAAACTACCGAATACATAGACCACCTTAGCGCTGAAGTGTGTCCCTCGTTAAACCGTTATTCCCTTTGTAACCGCAGCTAATTGAGGTTTTATTGATGTATCTGGGTGGCCGCCATTCGGTAGACGAACACGTGGCGGCGGCCATCTTACGCACGAACTCTCAGCGGTGTTTGGTCGTCGAGTGTCTGGAACTCAAATCGGACACTCAATTGCGTGAACAGCGCTGAGACCTCCAGAACTCCAGAACTACCGAACAGAGGGGCCAATCGGCTCCCCGCTCGGTGAGTTCAATCTACCGAACAAGGGGGTTCATGCGAACCCAGTATTTGCTATGGATGTCAATGATTTATGCCTAGTTCATCTCCTGAACGAAGACCGACCGCAGGGCCAGAATGCATGGAACTCCTTTCGGCTACATGTTCGTGTGCGGTCGGTCAAATCGTTTAATGCCTGTAACTCCCGAACCCCTGATCTGATCTGGGTGAATTTTGAGTATGTTGGTCACCCAGACCAGGGATGCCACTTAGGTCCTGGTACCCCATGGTTTTAGGGTACATCCAAGAAACAGGGGAAAAGGTGCCAGGATTAAGTGGATTAAGTGTTACTCTGAGGGGAGGGAAAGTAGGGGAGGGAACCTCTGTATCATTGGTTACTGTTGTAATTACTGTAAATCCCTCCATTGCATGGGAGAATCCTTTATAAGGAGCTGCTGTGAATAAATCTTTAGTTCTGCTCCTGATACTGTGTGTCATCCAGTTATTGGGAGTGCTGTTGGGATACTGCTGCATTGTTTTGCCTGCTGGAGACTTTGCCATATGGATTTATAATTACTTGTTCCTGAGCCTCACTGGGATCTACAAATGGAAATAGGCTATGAAATACTAGCTCTCCGCTACATTCATTTTAGCCTACAGCCATGTGATAGATGGAGAAGATAATGATAGGATGAATGCCTTTGTTGGCCACAGCACCAGAAAATAAAATAATAATGTTTTAGAATCCAAGCTTTGATGAAAGAAAAAGGATAACACATATGCTTAACATTATATATTTAGCATGCTTGGGTACTTGAAACGTGCTACTTGAATCAAAGAGAAATATGCTAGCTTGTAACTTGAAGTGATGGTGGCTGAGAATAAAAAAAAATATAAAACTAAATTTGTGAAACAATTATCTTAAGCTTTAATTTGAAATTCATTATGACATGTCATGGGACTTGCATACAATTTTTGCATAGGTGTTGCTGTACAGGAGTTTTCAAGACAACAAAGATTCTTCTTCACATTTGGCCATCTGTGCAACCATCTGTGTTTTTACTCGGAGCAATGGACTCCACTGTTGCAGGAATATTAATCTCATTGTAATTTGCCATTTACTCTGGGCAGGTATTTATTATCACATAAGGGGAGCTAGACTGTGTTACAAAACAACAAGGACATGATGGTAAATTGAAATTGTGCTGCAAATGCTTTAGAAGTTCGGTATTGTTATCAGTTGGCGTATAATGGTAAACTCACTATGTCGTCAACTCATTATATCTATTTGAATTACATTGTTTGAAATATACTGATGATTTATGAATAATCTAATAATAATTATTATATACCATATATGCTGTAATGTAAACGTTGCGTTACTAAAAAGTTAGATATATATAATACCATTAGAGCACATCAGATTTGAGGCAGAAGCAAAGCTATTGAAAATAAAAGTTAGGATTAGAGTTAAGCGAACCCTGACTGTAAAGTTCGGGTTCGTACCGAACATTACGTTTTTTGGACCCCGGACCCAAACACGGACATATCACTGTATGTTCGGGTTGGAGTTCGGTGTTCGGCGATTTAATGGTGCATTTTCAAAGGCTGCAGGGCAGCCAATCAACAAGCATTTGACTCTTGTGGTCTTAGAAGCCATCACAGCCATGCCTACTAATGGCCAGTGCAGCACGTGACCCAGCCTCCATATATAAGCTGGAGTCGCGTAGCGCTGCACGCACATGAGGTCTTATAAGTGTAGGGAGAGGATGCTGCCGCTGTGATGGACAGCTTAGGAAAGAATTCTGCAAACTAGTACATTAGTGGGGTGCACTTCATATCTGAGAGTCAAACAGAAGCGTCAAATACCGCGGTTACATCAGAGTTTTAAAAAGTCAATTTATTTTGGTGCTAAATAGTACATTAGTGGGGTGCACTTTATATCTGAGAGTCAAATAGAAGCGTCAAATAGTGCGCTTACAGCGCAGTTGTAAACATTCTTATTGTTTTGGTGCTAAACTGCTAAATAGTACATTTTGGGGCGTGCTCTTCATATTTGAGAGTCAATTAGAAGTGTCTAATAGTGCGCTTACAGCGCACTTGTAAACATTCTAATTGTTTTGCTGCTAATCTGCTCTTCATATCTGAGAGTCAAATCGAAGCGTAACTTTGATTCGAATTTACTACATCGGTCACTTGTTATATTATTTCACACCTACAACACTTGTTACACACATCTACGTGATAGAAAACAGATTGATATTTCCCTACACTAGAAACTACCAGTTAACAAGCTGCTATATTTAAACCAGTGATCTATAGCTAAGAGGTACTTAAACAATATTGTAATTCTGGGGCAATACCCTCACAAGTCATATTGAGAGATCAGTTTATAGGGAAAACTGTTGCCTGGATACAATTCTAAAACAATTTCCATTTGTCCTTTGCAGACTTTACATGCTGGAAAAACACAGGTGCCAACTGCTGTGGCTTTCTGCAGTGTGCATACCGGCAAGGAGGGCAGGGTTGAGGAGTGGGTGGAAGATGATGTGGAGGATGATGATGTCCTAGACCCCACATGGAATCAAGGTCATGTGAGTGATGCGTGCAGTTTGTAGGAAGAGGCGCTGGTCGCACAGAGGAACCAGCACAGCATAAGAGGGAGCAGGATGCAAAAGCGGAGCGACCATCCCCTAGCACTCGTCGGCATGTATTATCTTTAGAATTCCCACAGTTATCCAAGTAACAGTTGAAGCGATAAAAAGAACCATAACAGATTTCACAAGCCATTCGCAGTTTCGCAGTCCGGTGACCGGGACCCAGACACTGTCCGGGCGGCAGGCGGCGACCAGGACCCAGTATGCCTGATGTAGAAGTTAGGAGTCACAGTGTGGAATGGATTAGCAGGGTCTGGTGCAGGGTAACCGCACGCCCCCCTGGTGTTAAGCGTTTGTGCAGCTACATACCAGGACCCTGATGCAGCTTCAGTAAAAAGAGTACTGGATACCAGAAGCCATCACCAGACTGATCCGCAACTTGGAACAGGATGTGACATTCACTGTAGCGGCTGTGCGTGCTTTTGGCGCTCACCCTGCTGCTGCTCGCCTGTCTGCGCTGCAGCATAACTTTGGCCTTCCCACTCACTGCCTCATATTCGATGTGTCCACAAAGTGGAACTCCACCTTGCACATGCTGGAGAGACTGTTTGAGCAGCAGCAGGCGATAATCGAGTTTCAGCTGCAGCACGCACGGGTCAGTGGCTCTGCACCAGACTTCCCTCCAATTGATCAGAGTTAAAGAATTTCAAGTGGACTCATTACAATTACAGGGCCTCTAAAGAGTCCTGTATTGTTATTTGTCGTCACTACCTTCCCGCGTCAGGAGTGGGTCATTTGCACGCCTGCTGCCTTCCTTGCATGTGGTAGCCGTTTCTCAGGTTCCCTGTACGGAATGGAACCCTGATTCCCCGTTACCCGTGGTCACCATGGTAGGCGCAGTCAATGTCATCGAAAGTTTATATGGATTGACATACAAATGCATCGTCGCCTTATCGTTGGGAAGCACATTGAAAAATTGCTCCAGCATGACTAGCAAGGTGATCTCCGGGAACTTCTGGGTGGCCCTTGTGATGCCACGGTGTATACCCAGATATATCAGAGCTGCTGCAGAAAGTACGGGCCGTCTATGCGTGCTTTTGGCGTTCTCACCCTGCTGCTGCTCACCTGTCTGCGCTGCAGCGTAACTTTGGCCTTCCCGCTCACCGCCTCATTAGACTGTGCGAGCAGCAGCAGGTGATAGTGGAGTTTCAGATGCACGCACGGGTCATTTGCTCTGCGGAGCAGTTTCCTTTTTCTGTATGTCCCAATATTTTGGGGGCTACCCCAATTAAAAAAAAATAAAAAATTATATATATATATATATATATATATATATATATAAACAGTGTTGGCTACCTCCTCCTCCGCCGCTTCCACCTACACCGCCACGGTCACCGCCTCCTCAACCTATGAGTCACATAGTATAAACTATATACACAATAGCAGAGGCTTGTGAAGGCCTTTTCTCCATGCATCAGGACTGCAAGAAATGCACCGCAGGCCGCAAATGTTTCTTTTGTTGTACGTCCCAATATTTTGGGGGCTACCCCAATTAAAATAAAAAATAGATATATATTTATAAACAGTGTTGGCTACCCCCTCCACCGCCGCTTCCACCTACACCGCCACGGTCACCGCCTCCTCAACCTATGGGTCACTTAGTATAAACTATGTACACAATAGCAGAGACTTGTGAAGGCCTTTTCTCCATGCATCAGGAGTTGAGCTCAGTTTGAACAATGAAAGAGAATACCCTGCACTCCAACCCTCTCTCAAATGGATAATTCTGGTGATCCTTCTGACAGTCATGCTTTAGATTTTGATATGTTCTTCCAAAACATAAAAGATTCCATCTAGTGCTATTTTATGGCTCCGTTGTATTTTAAATTTTTATGTTATTTTAAGTGATTTCCCTATCCACATTTTTTGCAGGGCACTTGTCCTACCCTTACCCCCATTTTACTTCCTTTTGCAGCTCTCTAGCCCTTTCCAGGACTTTTTTTCAAAGTTTGGCCGAACACGCCGGACCCGAACATCCAGGTTTCCGCTCAACTCTAGTTAGGATATTTCTATGGAGGTTGATTTATAGAGGGAAAAAGTTAAATCTATCTGAATTGTAAGAATTAGAAAATAAGAAATAAATGTGTCATTCATGAATATATCTCCAGTTTCCATTATCCTCTTTATTGATGACTGGATGTGTAGTTGGCTTTAACAGGGCATGGCATCTTATGGATTTAGTGGGTAGAGCCTTTCTTCTTCTTCCCCTTACAATTCTTCCCCCAACATCACTCCCTCTGCTGTTCTATGTTCATTCACACCCGCTACATTGGAAGAGGTTTCTGCTCTGCTCCAGTACTCCTGCCCCACCACCTGCTCCCTAGATCCAATTCCCTTGCATCTTATCCGTACTCTGTCTTCTTCTCTTTCTCCACCTCTCACTAAAATTCTCAATCTCTCTCTCTCCTCTGGTATATTTCCATTGCCGTTCAAACATGCAACTGTAACCCCAATTCTAAAGAAGCCCAATCTTGACCCTAACTCCCCATCCAACAATCGTCCTATCTCGCTACTGCCTTTTGCATCCAAGATCCTTGAAAAAATTGCGTATGCGAGATTGACAGACTTCCTCGAGTCCAACTCTCTGCTAGACCCACTTCAGTCTGGTTTCCGCGCTAAGCACTCTGTGGAAACGGCACTGACCAAAGTATCCAATGATCTACTCGCTGCAAAATCTTGTGGTCACTACTCTATCCTAATTCTCCTTGACTTGTCTGCGGCTTTTGACACTGTTGATCATCAACAGCTTCTTCTCATCCTCCGCAATATCGGTCTACAAGATACTGCTCTCTCCTGGTGCTCCTCCTACCTCTCCCAGCGCTCTTTCAGTGTTTCTTTCTCTGGCTCTGCTTCTTCTCCCCAACTCCTCTCTGTTGGTGTCCCCCAAGGTTCAGTCCTTGGTCCCTACTGTTCTCCATCTATACTGCCTCCCTTGGTAAACTCATTAGCTCCTTTGGCTTCCAATATCATTTCTATGCAGGATGACACGCAAATCTACCTGTCCTCTCCTGATCTCTCCCATCCCTCTTGACTAGTGTCTCTGACTGCCTCTCTGCTGTTTCTAACTGGATGGCTGCCCACTTCCTTAAACTAAACTTGACCAAAACTGAAATTCTGGTCTTTCCTCCCTCAAGTGTTGTTACTCCTGTGTCTCCCTCCCTCCAAGTCAACGGTGCTACCATCAGCTCCATCACGCAGGCTCGCTGCCTAGGTGTTTTCTTTGACTCCGACCTCTCCTCCAAGCCTCATGTTCAATCTATCACCAAATCCTGTCATTTTCATCTCAAAAACATTGCGCGCATCCGCCCCTACTTAACGCCAGATGCGACTAAGGTGTTGGTCCATTCCACTGTCCTTTCTCGCCTTGACTACTGTAATACGCTTCTCAGTGGTCTTACGTGCTCCCAACTTGCGCCGTTACAGTCCATAATGAATGCGGTGGCGAGGCTCATCTTCTTGTCCGCTCGCGCCACCCATGCCTCACCCTTCTGTCAGTCCCTACATTGGCTTCCTATAAAATATAGAGCACAATTTAAAATTCTGGTTCTTGCTTTCAAATCTCTACATAATGCTGCTCCTACCTATCTATCCTCCCTTATACACAAGTCTAGGCCCTTACGATCTGCTGAAGACTTACGTCTATCTTCAGTCCGTACTCCCACCTCTGATGCTCGCCTTCAAGATTTCTCGAGGGCTGCACCGTTCCTGTGGAACTTGCTTCCCTCCTCCGTTAGATGCTCACCCAGTCTCCACTCCTTCAAAAAATCTTTAAAAACCCACTTCTTCATAAAAGCGTATCAATTAAACTGTTAATAGCTCCTGACTGATTCCTCTTCTGCAACTGTCACTAGTCTAATACTATCCTCAACCCCTCTGTTCCTGTGTGTCCCACTTGTCTGGTTACAACGACATGTCTGTTCGTCCACCCATTGTAAAGCGCTGCGGAATTTGACGGTGCTCTATAAATATCATAATAATAATAATAGGTAGAAGCATTCCACTATCTTAAAATTTACAAGCTGCCACTGATTGTAAACAATATTCTGTTTACACATAAAGGTGAAAAACTGCAAAATCTGACATATATGCATCTAAACTGATTATTATGGATTTAATGTTAACATAGAAGCATCCTCTGTAAGACCTTGAAAGTATATAGGTCAAGCTCTAGAGAGAGAACAAGACAGGAAAATATTTAAAAGCAGAAACTATACAACCAGAAAACCAGTCAACCGTGGTAAATGCTAAAACACTGAAACACAAGGGACTGTTTTTAAAAAATATTAATTTTAACTCTAATAACATGGTTTGGAAGAACAAGCTAAGAGAAGACCTCTATAAGCTAACCCAGCGGTTCCCAAACTGTGTGCAACGTGCACACAGGGGTGCTGCAGAATGTTTTCCCGGTGCTATGATTATAGCACCGGGGAAGCATTACTGCTGAACAGGGACCCAGTCGAGTGCCGTGGTCCTTTAAGACCGCGACCAGGCACCTTTAATGTCGGCCAGCTACGAGGAAGTGACAGCTTGCAGGAGGGAGAGGAGGCAACCGTAGTGTGAGGAAAGAGGAGCATGAAGAGCTCCAGACCCCTCACTCCCACAGCAGCAGGACTCTAAGCCACCCTCCTGGCACATAAGGTAAGCTAACAGGAGGGTAGCTGGAGATATAAAAAAAAAAACACTTGTGTGTGACTGTGTGTATGAGTGTGTGTATATGTGTGTGTGCGTGCATGCGTATGTGTATGAGTGTGTGTGTGTGTGTGTGTATGTGTGAAAGTATGTATATGAGTGTGAGTATGGGTGTATGAGTGTATGTAGGAGTGTGTGTATGAATGAATGTATGTATGAGTGTGTGTAGTAGTGATGTCGCGAACCCGAAATTTTCGGTTCGCGAACGGCGAACGCGAACTTCCGCAAATGTTCGCGAACCGGGCGAACCGCCATTGACTTCAATGGGCAGGTGAATTTTAAAACACACAGGGACTCTTTCTGGCCACAATAGTGATGGAAAAGTTGTTTCAAGGGGACTAACACCTGGACTGTGGCATGCCGGAGGGGGATCCATGGCAAAACTCCCATGGAAAATTACACAGTTGATACAGAGTCTGGTTTTAATCCATAAAGGGCAGAAATCACCTAACATTCCTAAATCACAATGAATATGGATTGACACCTGACATATGACATATTGACACCTTGACATATGGATTGACACCTGTCCTCAGAGCCCCTGATGCACACGGACACAGAGCAGAATAGAGACTGGTCCCCTACATAGGGTCACTTGGCAGATATGGATTGACACCTGTCCTAAGGATCCCTGATACACACTGACACAGAGCAGAATAGGGACTGTTCCCCCTGCATAGGGTCACTTGGCAGATATGGATTGACACCTGTCCTAAGGATCCCTGATACACACTGACACAGAGCAGAATAGGGAATGTTACCCCAACATCGGGTCACTTGGCAGATATGGATTGACGCCTGTCCTAAGGATCCCTGATACACACTGACACAGAGCAGAATAGGGACTGTTCCTCCTACATAGGGTCACTTGGCAGATATGGATTGACACCTGTCCTCAGAGACCATGATACACACTGACACAGAGCAGAATAGAGACTGTTCCCCCTACATAGGGTCACTTGGCAGATATGGATTGACACCTTGTTACAAACTGCTATTTGTAACGGGCCCTTTAAATGGCAAATTGCCTGCTTCCCTGGGTTGTGGAGAAGCCTATTTGCCAGCCTCCTCCCGCATGACTATGGCCCCTGGGAGATTGTGAAAATGTATGCACTTTTATTTGGTGTGTATGGCCCTTTAAGACTGTCGGTGGGCATATTGGGGCTTATGGACTCTTTATGTGACTGGTGCTGGCCTTTAAACACCTTTTTTGGGACATCAGGAAGATTGGGACACTGCCCCTTTAAGGCCGT